AAACCTGAGGTCTATCTTGGATCCTTAATTTCCCAGTTTTTATGGCCCAACCTGCTCTTGTAGGACTTTAAGTTGCCAGTGCAAGGATGTTAATATGTCTTTATTGTTAATCATTACACAGTAGCTATTTACACGTTATTTTAGAATAATACCATTCATTTAAATATGTTGAAGTGGATCCCTTCACTTTGTTATCTTCTTAGAACATTGGCTTGTTTAGGGGTTTGATGTTTTGGCCTACCATACATTGAGGTAGTCTCTGAAAATCTTAGATATAAATTGAACAGGAGCACAGATGTATTTCTATGATATTTGTAATCTTACATTGGAGTCATAGTTCCTTGCTTTGTTGCTTGGTCATTTCACTACAGAATCTCTCTAGATAACCAAAATCTTTGAATTTGTGTTTCTGTCAGAAACTTGTGAATGAGACATTCCAGCAGATGTGGTTTTCACCACTCCCAACAACAAACACAGACAAGCTGCTGAAGAGAGCACTCAATGTTATTGAAGTTGTTGCAGCCAGCAAAGAGCATGGGTATGACTGGTTGGAACAGCTACTGACAAATGTAAGTGACAAGTTGTTAGTAACCCAACCCTTCAAGGTCTTGTCAAACACCAGATTGTGGAGGATCATGCAGGCTTGAAGGAGTGAAGGTGGAGACTGGCTCAGTTACTTGTCATGAGACTAGTTCAAAGCCTACATTGAAAAGCTTACGTTACAAAGATTGTGCCATAGGTTTACTGCCTAGTGGATTATTATGAAGGCTTCAGGAAAGTTTCTGGGAAGAATGCCCCTTTTTTGTTCGAATGTTTTGTATCTTACTTACCCTTGTTGGAGATTAAAAAAATATTTACTTGACTGGGGGGATGTAATAAGTCCTATTACTGTTCTGTGTAACAACAGTTGTCAATGCGATGTTTGCTCATTGCAGCAGTTTTCCTACAAAATGTTTGATTGAAGAATTAACACTGAGTGTTGGTCATTTGTCTTGTGTTTTAGTTGCTGAAAGCAGAGGAAGATGCCAGACATAAACCCGTCCAGAAAGCTTGCCTACAAATCACTGATTGCTTGGTGGAACATGTACTCCGATTAGAACTCCAGTCAACAGGTGGGTGCAACACCACCGATCTGTGTATAATGATTGGTTGAAATACTAAACTGTTGGACTTCCCAGGAAACTATTTTTGAAAATAATTGGAAGTAATTTGTTAGACGTTAGGATTTGCCTGGTGGTAAGTAAGACTGAAAGTCTGCTATTCAAAGTGCATCTGGCACTGGAGAAACAGTGAACTCAAACAAGTCTGCAGTGTTCTCGTCTCCTGAAGCAGGAACAGAGCACTCTTCAAAATCTTGAGTTACCTGGCTCTTTAAAGAGCGTAACATCATTCACAAAGCGGTGTACAGGTTGGCTTCATAGACTTTATTTCATACTTTGGTAGTTTGTGCCATTTTCAGGCTTTGATAATCTTTTGTAATCCACTTGGTTTTTCTCTCAGAGTCATCTGCAGAAGGCAGAGTTAGCAGTCAACGTTTGGTTAGTTGTCTACAGACTTTATATCTCTTTAGTAAAGTCAAACCAGAGTTGATGGTCACCCATGCCACCACTTTCCAACCCTACCTCAGCACACGATGCAGTGTAAGCAACCAAGTTTTGTCTCTAAATCATTATACAGGCTGTCCATATAAAAAATGGACTGAGATAAAAATTAGTGTGATGGCAAAACTACGTTATATATGGGAAAAAGAAATATATCTCTAGAAAAGGCAGAATGTTCTCTTTGTAATGCTAGACAGCTTGCGATGTAATTGACACAGATGAGTGAACAAATTAAACTGATGTTAAGGGTACTGAAATTGGCATTGTGAAAGGTTTTCATATTTGATTAACAAGGCTCAACCATGCAAATGTGCAGAATACCAATTGTCTTTGCTTTAAGAACACATTCTTGAAAACAAGGAATGTACCTAAATCAATCTCATTTGGTTTGGTTTCGCTTATTACTTCATAAGTTTAATGTGCTGTGCCCTCCACATGGCCACCATTCCTGTCAATGCACATCTGACAATTTTATGTAATTTTCATCTTGGTATACTTTTTTTATGTGGACACCCTGTATTTTGAGCTGTGTAGACATCCTGAATCGTAGATTTTGATTTTTTGTTGATAACGAAAGCTTTAATATTGATATAAATGACTTCAAGAAGAAGCCAACAAAAAATGGCAGGGAGCTCCTGCTGACAACTTCTAGGGAATAGATGGGTTAGAGTTGACAATCAGTTGATATGAAGACACTAGGGACAGAGAACATCCAGTAGATTTTTCTGTCAAGGTTTCTCTTTGTTATGCTGCACTATGACTAAATTACTGTGCTTAGCTACTCAGGAAACTCAAAATATCAAGGCTTTGTGGTAAATACTTTAATTGTTCCTAATTTTACTCTGTTTTCAGACACAAGGTGATTTCCTGGTTGTTCACAACGTTGCCCGTATCTTAGAGTTAGTGGTTCCTCTGATGGATCATCCTAGTGAGATATTCTTAGCTAGTCTTGAAGAGGACATGATGAAACTCATCATCAGACATGGTCAAACGGTGAGTTGATTTACCTGTAGCAGTACCTAAGTTGCATTTAAATCTGCGCTATGTACCATTTGTCGACGTTGAGCATGGCAGTAATATGCAGCTTTATGTTGAGGCCTACCTCACTGAGAGTGTGATTTGTGGGTATTATTGAAAGTATTTCGAAGAGTACCCACCCACGTAAAGACGTCAGTATAACCTGTCAGAAAAATAGTTTAATCAGTGCCCAAATTAGATGAATGCTGAAAGTTAGTTTCTTCGTGGTTGAAATTAGATTTGCATATTTTCTAGATTACTAAATGTGCAACTACATTTTTTTGTCTAACATAAATCCAACAGGTACTACAGAGCTGTGTTAGCTGTCTAGGTGCTGTTGTTAACAAAGTCACTCATAACTACAAACTAGTCAGGGATTGCTTCCAGAAGTACTTTGGTAAGTTGCTGTCTCAGTGTTAACGAGCCGCAATTGCTGTCATTGATCTACAGGATCTTAAGCCGTGTCTCATAGACGAGTGTTTAACAAGAAGGTTGTTACACGACAGCATACCAATTTTGTAAATAAGATATTTGTCAAGTTAGTTCATAAAAATCTTTGTCACGTGTGTATTCATATTTTGAAATTTGTCCGTTTAATGTTGGAAAATTTAGTTAAGATATTTCCGAATCTATTACTCTGTGATCCAATTACTTTTAGTGCTAATACTATTAACGTTCACACCTCTAAGCATGGTAAGTAGTGGTGTGCAATTTTTGACAGTTAAATTTTGTTTTAATTCTCTTCAGCGGTGCTGTCCAAGTTGAAGACAGAACATGAAGCCAACCCAGAAAGTGCTACCATGGCCAAGAACAAGAACACACTCTTGAGGGCGCTCTTCACTGTTGGTCTGTTCTGTAAGCACTTTGACTTTGATGCAGGCATCAAGCACTCAAAGGTGAGTTGAAAATTACTGTTCTGACTGGAGGTGATATTTAGAAGATCAGAATGGATCTAAAGATGGCATTTTGTTGTCAACAAGAAGGAGTGAAGAGAGCTATCTGTGATGTCGCTTTGTTTTTTCCACAGCAGTCTGGAGACAGTCCACGGACACCTAAGAATCCTCATGTGGTAAGTCCAGTGTCTAGACATGAGCAGAAAGCTTTGTTAGTTTCACTGAACTCTCGATTCAGCAAATTATCTCATTCAACTTTCCCCCATAGGGACATCATCCCCCAAATTGTGGTCTCACATTCTGCCATGGAAGTTGTTGATCTGAGCAAGTTGACAAAAAACTTGCTGATCTTCCAACTTTGCCCCATGTCCACAGCTTGATAAGGACAAGTAAAAAAAATACATGTTTTCAGGTCAGGTCAGATGTCTCTGTTATGGGCTCTGTGCACAGACAAAAGAGCGTGCTTTGTAGCCAGAGGCTTTCCTAAAATTATGACTGTGGCTTAAATAACAAGCCTATGGAAGAAAGCCCTTTGGGTGTAGACAGTACCCATTGATGCGTGTTGCTCCTGCCTACATCCACTTGGTAGGGATAACAATCTACCTGTCTACAAGTGACAGCTTAATATCTCACTGGTTGGTATGCACCTGTCTAGCTGGAAACATAAACCTTAACTCTCCAAGGGCCTTCAAAATTACTTGGAAGTTTTGGAGATTTTCACAAGATATAGTAGGGCAGGGTCCAGGCAGTGTTTTTTTAACATGGGGCTTGCTGTCCCTTTGAAGATAATATATAAAGAAATTTGTGTTGGATTCCTGCACAGTTATGGATTTTCCGTGATTTCAGAAAAGTTAGCAAAAACTTTTAAGCCACTTGAAGTTGAGCAATCGTGGCATACCGAAGCCCTGCATTGAAATTGGTCCCCCCTGTCTATGGCAGTGAAGACGGAAGAAATAGTGCTTGTGTACAGAGCTCATAATCTTTCTCAAATATCTCAAGCCAGTTTTGGATTGTGATGGATTTTGAATATAAAACCTGCTTAAGGACATTAACTATTGAAAGCTGTGCAGGAAACCTGTGTTTATTTTACTTGGCCTTGTGCTGTTCTTGTTGGGTCTCCCGTGTCATTTCAATGTATATTGATCCAATGTGATTTTTGTCCTCAGCCCACAAGTGAAAGCCCACAAACTGTCCCCAATAACGTGGTATGTATTTTCAGATTTGTGCAAAAATCATTTTCCTCGAGACATTCATTAACACTTCTTTTTTTTCTGATCTTTGCGTGAACAAAGATTCGCTCCTGTGACTGTATGGATGTGTTTTGACTGTCAAGATACTTTGTAAAATCATACAAGTTTCTGTACTCTTTCACATTTTCCCATTCATAAATGGAGCCATTAATTGTCAGTTGAACAAAGTGTGTGTTATTGTGACTTCAAACATTCTTCCAGGATGGACATTTTTTGGACAATATTTTAATGGTTTGCCAAAGAGTTTTTTAATTTCAATGGAATCAAACATCTAAATGTTGATCTGTGTAGAAATGTAGAATCTTTGAAACTACACGATTTTGTATATCTATAAAATCTTATAAGAGGTACTGAAACACATCATAATCTAGCTAAATCATGGATTTTGTCTGAGAAAGATCTTTATATTCCTATAGCAAAGAAATCAGTCCTAAAAACCTTTTGTGCAAATAACAAAGAAGGAAGTATATATTGCTCTGTAAGATTGAGAAAAGAGCAAAATATAAACTCAAATAGGAATAAAACTTGTATTGCTTTGACAATAAAAGCTAAGTCATGGTTTACATGAATTGTTTTTGGTTTTTTACAACCAGCAGTACACCAGTAAACTGCTACAAATGATCCCAAATTCTGCTCCAAATATGGTTGCTTCACAAAGTGTGACAAATCAGGTGTGATCCATCATACTTGTCTTTCCATGTGTAAAAATCACTTTCCCAGTCTTAGAATTCCTTCACCTTTCCATACATAGCACACAAAATCCTCCAAGAAAAGTAATTTTTGTTTAATTTGTTAAACAGTTTCAATAACCTTACGTTCTTTAATACTGCGAAAATTGTTACTTGAGAATCCCATGGTGAACTGATAACCTTGGTGTTGTCTAGTACCCAGCACTCATCTCACATCATTCGAAGTAATTCTGTTTCACATTCATTGTCAAACACTTGATCACATTCCCATGGTTATCTGTTCATTAACATTACCTGAAGTTCGACATGTAAGATGTTGCCTGAGAGAAAAAAAAGAGTGAGAGGTTAAATACAGTCAGTTTCTGACAAAGTGGGGGTACATATCAAAGCCTAACCCTGAAGAGGTTTGGGGAGGGGTACATATCAAAGCCTAACCCTGAAGAGGTTTGGGGAGGGGTACATATCAAAGCCTAACCCTGAAGAGGTTTGGGGTGGGGTACATATCAAAGCCTAACCCTGAAGAGGTTTGGGGTGGGGTATATATCAAAGCCTAATCCCAAAGAGGGTGTTGTGGTGGTGTTTGTAGTTTAGCCAAGAAAAAGAAACTGTGTTTAATTTCACAATTAAGTGATCCTGAAAGTGTTGTGGTAATACTTGTGTTCCTTTTGATTGGGCTGCCCGTAAGGTTACTAACTTGAGCAACTTGTCTTGACCTGTACACTAAATCTATTGCTGTAATAAGCCACTTGCGAGTTAAATTTGAATAAAATCTGGCACACTGTGCTACCTAATTACATAGAAACGTAACAATTTGAATTCCCCAGACTAAAGTCACTGTTGCTATACCTCGTGATTTGGGGAAAGCTTTTGCATAGCGACCACCATCTCTGGAATGGACTGGTTCCTTTGTGCCCTTCTTATCCATTGAGAACAGTGTATTGTTGCAAGGTTTCTCTAACGTATCTAAGCAAAAGCTTACCCCGAATTACGAGGTATAGCAACAGTGGGTTTAGTATGGAGAATTCAAGTTGTTATGTTCTCGTGAATTTAAAGAACTCAGTGTACCAGATTTTATTCAAACTTAACTCGCAAATGGCTTATTAGTTACTGAGGTGATACCACGGTTTTAGTCGTTGTCTTTGTCACTGTTAAGTTTCAGTGACAGATATTTCTATGATACCTTTGTAATGTGCATTCGTATCAGGTACCACAGGTAGAAATTCTCTCATGAAATATTACGGAATGCTGTAGTTGTCTCATCTTTACTCCGTTGAAGTGTTCCTTAAGATGCACATTTCTATTGCAGTTGCTCATTTAATACAGAAAAAAAAATGTATCCTTTTAAGTATGAACAGGTTGTATTAGCCAATATACGAAAAATATGAGGTCATGCTTTGTTGATCTTGTCCCATCTCACTGCCTTTATAGGAAGGCGTACATGTAAACAAAGCATGGCTTCATTTTGCAGTGGGTCTTTTGCATAGTAACAGATGAGGTAAAAATTTCTACCACTTAAAAAGATGGACAACATTTTGTTAACGATGCAGTGTTTGCTGAAGCCAACCTGTGATGTGAATGGAGGCATACTTCAGGCAGGATACTTGCAAAGATTTCCTTTTTAATGAGGAGTTTTTTGCATTCACCAGGTGCCAATCAGGGAACGTGTCTTTGATGTCCTTTTCTACTTCTGCTATCATGAAGATGAAGAAGTCCGAATGAAAGCCATCACTGGTGCCGGCTTCTTGTGCAATCGTCATGCCGACTTCCTTCTGGGTACAAAAATGAAGACACTCTATTGGGATATCTTGATGGATACCTCAACCTCCACCAAACTTGTCTGTCAGGTGTGTAGCTGTGAAATTTCAAGTTAGCGTTGTTGTCCAGTACTTCCAAATACAGTACCATGTATTCTACAAGTACATGTTGATGAATAATTGAGACAACCCTTAGGATGTGTCCAAGAAAATTTTGATGATCAGAGAAAAGGAGACTTAAATATCAGTACAGGTTTGAATGTTGCTGCTTTGGTTAGGTTTATGAACTGGTCACTGTATATGAGTTAGTACCTTGCCAATCATTAAGAAAAAGTTGTGAGGCACTAATGCAACAGTTGAAGGTGTTCTAGAGCTTGATCAACTTACCCCTGTTTCAAACAGGCATTCTAGAGCTGTGCCGAACCAAATTAGAAGCAAATATTGAATTAAGCACGACAAAAGTTCAACATCTGAAACAATTAGGAGCGATGAGGCCAGCTAGCAGGCAAAGGATCAACACTTGAAGGTGCTCGGAACGACGGAGGAGCAACTTGGTTTCCAATGTCACTCCTTTCATGGGCCGAACCCAATGGAAATGTGTGAAGTTCATCTGTCTGAAACCAAAAGTTAATGGGGTCAACCCAAGTCGCTCTTAATTCCATTTGGTTCGGCGTGACCCTAGAACGCCTGTCTGAAACAGTTGTTAATCTCCCGGCCTCTTGTTTGTTATTCCATAAATGCCCTGTTGCCTGTGCTTTAGCTTTAGCTCCACAGCAAGGGATCTATCCTTTTCAAAATTTTGTGCCCCATATCTGAGCAAGCTGATTGTGGAGCCTTGATTACACTCTGGAATATTTTTGTTGTAGGTATTGCGAAACCTTCAGTTGTACTTGACAGAGGAAGATGAGAGAATGAGAAGAGCTGATGCTGAATGTAAGTCTTGAGATGTGCAGATCTTGGCCTGAACAAGCTAAAAGAATTTATTTGGTTAAACTCAACTAACAAGTCTTGTCTATACCTTTCAGTTACATGTTCTTTAAGTGTGTACCTCTTAGTTCCAACTTGTGTTCCTGTAATCTACCACACTACCCTTTGGAATGCCTTCGAAAGGAGAGCGTCTTATTATCAGGCCAGCTAGTCATTTGTGTGACTCGATTTTGTTTGGATTATGCAGGGAACAAGATGGGAAACAAGGAGGATTTGAAGGAGATGGGCGATGTTCAATCAGGGTAGGTAGAGGCGCAAAGTTACTAGTTACCATGGATAGGATAGAGATGACCTGAGTGATTGTGATGAATAGGCCTGATGGGTGGAACTGGATGTCCCAACGCCACCTAGTTTATTATGTACCCTCTTCTATTCTCATGCTCAAGGAACTTATTTTACTTATAAACAACTTGGAAAACATATCTTGAAAAAGTGAAATTGATTGGCCTGCTTTGTGTAAATATTTACAAATAATTCAACTTGGTAGCTTTGGAATTTTTTTAGTTTTTTGAATGAACAAGAACTTCACAAGAACTGTATCGACCTTCTATAGTTGACATTTTTGAATTTTTCTTTTTACAAATAGTTTGTTGTTACTCTCAAAGCATTATCCCTAGGACTAAGTCCCCACAGAATAACCCCAAGTGCAGGAACTTATTGGCACAGTCCACAGAATACGTCCAAACTTTTTGATGGCATTCAGAGTAAGGGTTAGACTTATTTCTTGAATCGCCTATACTTTCATTTCCTATCCCAACAGGATGAGCAGTTCGGTGATGCAGCTGTATCTGAAGCAAGTTATGGAAGCCATGATCCATACACTGTCAGTAATACGTCTGTCAGCATTACAGGTTGTCATAGCAACACTAAAACAGGGTCTGGTACACCCTGTTCAGGTAAGAATATTCGTCATCCATGTTTGACCTCTCACTATTTCTAGATTTAAGTTTAACTTGCCCTTTGGAATACTGAATGTAATTTTGTCTATTCAAGTTGAACATTTTTATCATTTCCTAAAGCCTAAACTATTGAGGTTTAGGCTGAAAAAAAGCCCAAATAGATTTTTTTTTTTCAAAAAATTTCTATAATACTCGCAAACTTCAATGACGAGATAGTTGGTTTCATTTTTCTGATCTACTTTCTTAACCGAGCCGTTGAACAACACATGTTGTAGTAACAGCTCTTTGACTAACGTCTTTTTGTTCTGTTGATAGTGTGTTCCGTATCTCATTGCCATGGGCAGTGATCCAGAGGCCACCATCAGGATAAAAGCTGATCAGCAACTGTCAGACATTGACAGCAGATATCCTGGATTCATTCAGGTTTGTCTCACTTCAAAATTTACATAAATAAGTGATTGCTTCCACGATGTGTGCTTCTAGTGTGCTTACTTTAGGCAGTAATATCAAGAATCCTGCAGGTTGACATCCAAATTGTGTAATCATTTATCTTTTTGTTGAGCCAACCATGTTCTAAAAGGTCTGTCTATACCAGTCAGCAGGATTTCATGGATTTAAATCACAAAAGAGCTCTGTCTTTTTTTCTCAACACTTCACAAGACCAAAACAATGCAGAAAACTGTATTTGACATTCCAACATTTCTCAATTTCAGATGAAGGCTCTTGCTGGTATCAAGATGGCTTTCCGTCTTCAGAAGCTGTTACAAGAGGGTCAGATAGGACCCTTGAGAGGAATGAGAGAGAAGGATAGTCTGTATAGTTTGACTAACCACACTTACAGCATCATCAGGGGTCATCGCCAACACCGCAGGGCACTTTTACTCTGTCTTCTCAACCTCTTCGATGAACAAGCAGTGAGTACAAATTTACCCACACTTCCGTGCTCCGCCCACAGTTCTGAGCTCCACGCACACTTCTGTTCTATGCCCTTTGCAGAAGTTATGCACTGGACCACAATGGTATTGCATTCCCAGTGGATGTTTAGTGTAGCTCTTGTTAAGGAGGACTGGTTTCATGTCAGAACCTTACCATTTCCTTCAACATTCACATTGTCAAAGCCGACCCTTTACCATATTGATTCTCCATTTGGCGGCATTACAAATCCTGAATATCACCATAAATTTATGAATTTCATTGTTGATATTGCAGAAGACGGAGTTGGACCTTCTCGTGTTTGTAGCCGACAACCTTGCCTACTTTCCTTATGTCACTCAAGATGAACCACTCTTTGTAATGCATCATATTGAGATAACGGTATCTGTCTCAGGAGCCAACCTCCTGCAGTCATTCAAAGACGTAAGTCTGTCCTCAGATTTTGTCCTGTAATGTTGGGACAGTTTTTCAATATACAAGTGGTAGACTAGAAAGGGATAGGGGTCAAAACTTCTCTTTGACTTTGCCACATCTGTAGTATGGTATTGCAGTTTCTTGTTCCACAGTACAACTGAAAGTGGAATTTACAATAGAATTTCCCGTGAAATAACTTTGTTGGCCATGTAAAGATAGTAAAACCACATGATATGCTTTTGTTTGTCATCTATTTTTCTCCAGAACCTTGTAGGAGAACCATTTCCTCCATGGTGTCAGTCGGTCAGTTTCTATCCTTGTTGACTTACATTTATTCATATATTGCTATCGCTAGTCTTTCCAGAAGAAGCAACCATCCAGGCCAGGATCGAGGTCATCCAGAGAGAGTGTAGACGGCAAGAAAGGTGACGACTTCAGCGATGATGATGATGAAGATGAGGAAGTCCTCATGGGTGAGTGACCTGCTTCCTACACTTCTCTCTTTTTTTGTATGCAGTGCTCATAGCTGGCTCATACTTGCACAACTGAAGATACACTGTGATGTGCATCATTACCCTATTGAATTTCACTTTACTGGAGTGAAATCTGAAGCTGACTTTGAGGAATATTCTTCAAAACTGGTACAGTCCACAAGCTTTTCCAGTTGGAATGCATTGTTACAAGGTTCCTTTCGTGGGCACCAACATTTGCTGGAAAGCTACACCTGCTGTCAATTTACATCAGTAACTGTTTCTCATTTTGCAGGATTGATACCAGAGGATCCTTGTCAACTACTTGAGTGTTGTGTTGCCTCACAAGCCTGCATCATGCTCTTGGTTCTCAAGCAACATCTTAAAGACATGTATGGCTTTAGAGATAGGTGAGGAAAATTATGAAAACTGAATTCAGTGTTAGAGAACAGAATACACATGTTTTTGACATGCACTTGACCGTTAAAGTTAATGTCAGATTGAAAGTGAAATCCAGTGACCCTGGATTGGGTTGAAAATGCTGATTTTTTGCCCAATAAAATCTATGAAAATCTGAATTTTCATTCAGTCATTGTGTGTAAAAAAACTGATAATAAACAAATTTTTGTCTCACATCAAGATTATCAGTTTTGCCTTCTGTTTGTATATGGTGAACTAATCTTTTCTCTTTTTCCACAGCACAATTCATCGCTATTCACCTACAGAGCCTTCCAAAGCATACGACAAGTCATTAAACCGTAAATGTGGTATAACCTTCAATCCAGCCAGAGCTCTAGAACTGCTAACTGTGGGGCAGCCCAAGACACCACTCACTGAAAAAGAGAAGAAAGACATTGTTGCTGAATATCTGGATGTTAGTGACCACACCATTTTTGTCTCTTAGTCATTACATTATCAAAACTGGCTAAGAATTCAGAATGCATAAATTAAAGACTAAAACCACTCTGTGCTGAAGGAACTAATAACTTCTTGTGAAATAGATATTGACAAAGACTATTTCAGCTGCTACATGTAGGCATAATATCTGCAGTGATTCCTATTCCAAATAGGACAGTGAACCCTTAAGCTTCTAATACTAAGAGTAGATGAACTCTTACAAATTGCTCATAGTTTGTGTGGCTCTTTAACCGTATCCTTTAAGGTACTGTTGCAGTGACATGAAACCTTGTTCCAGTCGGCATGATCTGGGATAATACTTGATAAGTTATGGGGGATCATGCAGAGCCAAATGTGGAGATGCTTACTGTAATTACTAAGGAAGAATCAGCTGGGTTCCAATCGTAGGCAGTTGATATGGCACACAATTTGAACTGTAACTGGTATTCTTTTACTCCCCTCTCCCAGTTCAAGCAGCTAATGGAGCTGATGGATCCATCAGACGATGAAGATGAGGATGGAGATCGACCTGATTCCAGTAGGTCTAAGACTCCTACTGCAGCTGTCGCCTCCAGCTCCGCCCACAACACCTCAGGGAATACAAACGATGACAGTAGGCCACAATCAGCAGCAGGAGCAGCTAGTCCTAACGCTGTCGTCGTGGTGAAAGATGACGATGATTCAGATGCTGCCCCATCAACACCACCATCAGTAGAGGTTGGAATTAATCTTAAGTCATCAGTTGGATCAAAGTAGAAATGGACCTGAAAATGGGCTATATTCTTGAAATTGAGTTTATCTTAAAATAGTTGAAGTGACTTGAGTTTGATTTCATTGGATTTTGTTTTGTCATTCTTCTTACAGGTACACAAAGTCAAACGACCGAAGCCAAAAGGAAGACGGCCATCCCAGAAAGCTGTTAAGAAAACATCCAAGCCACGAAAGAAACGTCGAAGAATATCCTTTTAAATTTTTGCCATGCAATTATTAAATTATTTTGTGTTATGAATGTATTGAAATGTAATTTAATTTTTTTGTTTTCCAATTTAATTTGTTTCCTTAACACTTTCATCACTTTGTTGATGACAGCGATGAAGAAGAAGATAGTGAAGACAGTGATCCAGACTTCATGGTGTAAATATAGCTCCTTGACCACTTACCCCAGCCAAACCAACTACATGGTGCATGGAACCTACAAATACAATTGTCACCGAGGCCAGTAACTTCTCATCAGGTGCTTTTAAAACATAATAGAAATGCTTTTGTTGTCTAAACAAAACCCAAACAAAAGTGTTCTGTTTTGAACTGTTGTGCAGTTATCAGGAAAAACAATAAGAAAGTTTGACATACTTGATTTTCAGAATTTGTTCTTTACGTGATTTTTTTTGTTTGACCATGACATGTTTTAGGTAGCTGTCCCTCTTTTTGCCATACTATACACATTGGTCTGTAGTTGGTACCAAAAATCAAAGACAAACTGGAATAAGCATGATGAATTAACAAGAAGTAGGGGAGCAGTGGTGTTACTGCAGAGTGCCGGGATCCAAATTATATTGGATCTGCCAGAAACCAAGGGGTTTTGGACTTGCCAAACTTTAAAAAGAACCTAGCTCCACGAATAGGTCATTAAATCCATCCTAAACTGGGGTTTCTAATGTACAGTTTACTCCATTTCTTTCTCCAAATTCTTCTGGAAAGATTCTTATTTGTATTATCTTGTTCACTTGTGTTTTTCTCACGGGGTATCTTGTCACAATTGAATGTGAATGACAGCATACAGGAACTCCTGACAAAGTTGAAATATCAAAGTCAATATTCATATCAGGTTATCCCCCCCTATGTAAGTTTTACAGGCCAAATACTACTTTCATTTTGCGGTTTTGTGGCTTTGAAAAAAGGGTGTGGAAAAGCATTGTTTTGGTTGGTTTATAAGCTGTTCGGAGAGTATTAGCTGTACATCTGCACATCTTTTTTTCTTGGCAAAGCGTTGAGTCGGGGGTTGGAAATGGAGCCCTGTTTGGGACAAATTAATCTTGCCGTTTTGAGCTGCTCCACTGTATGCTTAATCTTCCCATTAGATCAAAATTCATTTGTGGTTTCATTATCCCTTACTGCTTCGTAGGACTTAATGCTCCCATTTTGTTTTGGTTCAAAGACGATATCATTGTCTTTAACACTGTAAAGGATTCAACTTTGGAAAGTTCTTTGAGTCTTCAAAGTATTTTAAGCCATTGGCATGCAGTGAAGGATGGATTCGTTGGTGTTCATGTGGATAAAAAGTACTTTTGTGAAGCTAAACAGAAAAAGAAGTTTGAGAAGAATTCCATTGTGTTTCATTCACTGGCAGGAATTTCTTTTCAGAAGCTTGCCTTTATGTTTTTTCAGTTATATTTTATTCAAAATATTTTGAGAAGCATTTAGGGTCAAAATGTATCTAGTTTAGAAACAAACTGAAGGTCTGAAACTATCCCAAAAGTTCCAGTTTCATACAAAAACTGTTAAATGCTGTCTTCCCTTTTGTGTTTTTCCTGATGAGTAGCTTTTGGGTTTCTTTTTGGAAGGGAAGTAGTTATGGACAAAACGGACAGTTTGACCTTTCTGGACTCGATTATTATTTTCAATTTTGATTCAAATGTTAAAATGATGAGATTTCAAAAATATCCCTCTGACAAGTTTGTATTACTCTCTTTTTAAAACTAATATCATTTGTAAAATATTTTATTGATATTTTAGCTGACTTCAATCATTCTTTATTTGGAATTATCGCTGCAAATTTGTGGTGGCGTATTTGTCATTGGTGTTTATATTCAAGTGACACTTTAAACTGTTGATATTTATTTGCGATATGCCTCTGAAACGCAGACCAAATTCATTCTCAGTGTTCAGAAACAAAATTTCCGAATTTCTCTTTGATTGCAACGAAGAAATCAACCAACTATAAACAGTCATTCTTATCAATTTGTTGAAAAGGTCCATGCACTTGTAGGATGTGACAAAGTGAAGCAGACGTTTTTGTTTACCACATGAAGCCACATTTTAAAGGTTGGGGCCGTCAAGGTTAGACACTTGATACCTGTCATTAGAAAGAAAGTACCTGGTCACAGGGAACATATTCCTTGCTGAGTGGCTTTGTTAGAATTAAGTTTGTGCTGTATGAGTAGCATTGTATTGTAAAAACAAAAACAAAGTTACATCTGAATTTTTTAATTTTCAAGTTCTAGCCGTGTTTATTATTACAAAGGGGTTGTATAAATATTAAGACACCCTGAACTTTTCTTATTCATATTTATTGGATGACATAATAACAGATGTTGTTTTTAATGACCTTGTTATTGAGCGTCTGTCACTCCTGTAAATATAGCTGAATGAAGGGGCCGGACATAACCATATTTTTTGATTCGACTATTAAAAGTTGCGAACCTAAGAAGAAATGGACAGATTTGGGCATTGAAAAGTATATGTCTGATGTGCTTGTATTCTGTTTGTGTTTGTTTTGGATTAATTCTGAAAGATGGGTCTGTCCAAATTCACTCCCAGGATTGTATTGAAGTTATTTTTTAATAACAGACAAAACTGACCTGAGGATTTCTCCCAACAATCTCAAAAACTTACTTTGTGACTGTTTCTCCCAACATGTCTTTTGCCAAGAGTTTGTTTGTTTTATCAAAGAGTGATTTTTTCACATTTTCACCAAGTCTCTTCCTAGGAGGAGGATTCTTATTTCCATCAGAAACTGACTTCTTGACCATTTCCCCCGAACACTGTTCAACCTTGCTGATGTCGTCAAAAGTAGACATGTTTGTGTTCAACTTTGCTGATGTCTCAAAAGTGGACAATTTTGACAATTTCCTGATTAAGTATAATGAGGGGTTGACTTGACTGTTTTTTCCAAAACTGAGATTTTCAAGAAAATGGTTTTGCAAGGGGTTAATTGTGCCACATTTGGTAGACGTTGACGTTTGTTACAATTTCCATGAAAATCTGTTGTACCAGCTGTAAGCCTTAGTTTCATAAAAGAATTTTTTTGAAATATTTCTGATTATTTCTTAACTTTCTGAACTGAAAGTACATGTACATATATATTTTTCCGCAATACTTGAAAATTAATTGATAAAAACAATTGGTGTTTATCCCTTCATATTTGTAAAAAAAACCCAGGAACTACATGTAGATAAAATGGATTATGCATTTCCTAAGTTGAAAAGAATGATTTATTAAGCCTAATGACAAAACAAAATGCAACTGCAGTGACTAAGCCAGTGATTGTATTTACAGGTTGTTAATCTTCCAGGATTAAACTACCTTTTCTACAGTTCCAAATTAACCAAACTACAAGTTGGATACTGGTTTACACATTGCTGCTAATGTCCATGGGATGCATTCAAGCAGTTGCTACATGAGTACTTATTCAGTGTTAATACCATTTCTTTAATGATCAATTCTTGCATAGCATTTCGTATTAAAATATCAAAACACTTTGAGCAAAACTTCCTGAGCTTTCAGAGAGCCATTCCCTCAGTTAAATTTTTAAATTTCTAAACCTCGACATTTTACAACTTTACAATGGCGGTTGGCCTTAACAGCCGAACAATAGACATTTCTCCCATTTCATCAATGTTGGAAATAAATCCAAACCTCAACTTTAAAAATCCACAATGAGCATGCAAAAGACTACTTAAGCAACTAGAATTAGAGACTATTACAGTGGGGCAATCTCGGACCGTTTCTCTCAGGTGTTGTGACTTCTCAAAATGCAGTCATGTACGTGCTCAAGATAAAACGTGTGTGTAATGACCTCGCAGAAATGGGGTCTCCTCAGATATGCCTGTACTACAAAACAGGCATTTGTTTGACTATCATTTCAACTAAAGTTGCCATTTTGAATTGAGTTTTGCCAGGACAACAAGTTGAACATTTCCACATTTATGGAAGACAAAACTTTGACAGTGTTGACATATCCATTCATGCATTGTTTAAAATATTAAAAAACGTATAACTATGCCATCTACACAACCTCTGCAAAGAAGTTAGATCTTTAAGTCATCCATCATCAGCACGTTCTGTGCCTGATTTGAAATGCTGTCTTTTTCACAGTCCTGTATCACTTGCCAATTCTTCAGATTCATCCATGATAGAATGGAAAGCTGGATTCCTTTTGAATAAATCAAATGAAACAAAAAGTTCAAGGAAAGACAAGCAAGAGACTCACAGATTTCTTCAGTTTATAGAAAGCTGAAACTATTTTATGCCAAAGTCCACACCCCAAGAAAATGCCATACTGCCGCTTAAATTGTAT